ATATATATATATATATATATATACACACACACATACACACACCAGGTGTAACAACAAAATTGTCCAAATTGTGTAACAGCTAAATTATCCATTTGTTATATATATAGCTTTGAACTGTTGTATCTTAGAAATGATTAAAGATGTTTTACTGGAATTCTTTGAAGTTTTTATAACACTACTGGACTCTATTTTGAGCAATAAGAATGTATAATTACTCTCCATGCTTAACAGAAGAAACATGATAAAATTGATCATAAACGAAAATAATATGTTCATCATTTATTAATCATAGCTAAGGCTCGGAAGTTCATGAAGGATTGAAATAAAATCCAAATATATATATTATTCCAGGATCATTTTCCAACTTGTTCAAGATCATTTTCACCCTCTCTAACCTTCTAACTTTCTGTCCTGGAGGAACCAGGTGCTTCACACATTTCATGTACAATTTCATTTTCAAGTCTTTTTTCACTGCTCTTTGGACTGTCATAGCTGAAACTCCTCTCTCACATGTCAAACGTCTTATGGATTAAGTTGGATCTTTTCTAATTAATCTCTTTAACTCTAAGTTGAGATGATGATCCCTCTTCCTGTTGTTGACCTCCTGTTTTTCTCTCTACTGTTCCCTCTTTTTAAAACTTATTTACTGTTCTCTTGATGGTACTTGAATGGACTTTGAAGATGGAAGCTAAAATATGAATGTTGGTACCATTTACTGAAGGCCTGAATGATCTGTTTCCTCTCACCATTGCTCAGTTGAGAAGACATGGTGGGTCTGCTACAAAATGATTTTAACCTGTTCTCTTTCTAACTGAATAACTTAAAGGGTTTTTCAGTGATTCTTATGACAAATGGTATTAAGATGGCTAAATGTCTCATCTAAAAACCTGGAAAAAAGAAACTCAATTAGTTTAGTGATTTTTTTAGATATTAAACATTTTGTGGGATGGAAAAGTTTGCTGTAACACCCAGTATATATATCCTGAAAACTTAACTTCATTAGTCAGGTGAGATGACAGGACACCCTGAAGAAGATAAAGTGACATCTGTCTCCCATAAATGTGCTATACCACATGCTACACACCCTCACTGAGTCAGGATAGTAGTGGGAGGGAGGAAAAGAAACAAGTTGCCAATGAGGAATTATGAGTACTTTAAGAATGTTGGGTTAACAAAACACCCCATGTGACTAATGCAGCATTAATCAGTACATGGGAGTAAATTCTTCTTCTTCTTCCACTTTTCATGAATAAAATGAACCTTTTTTTTTTATGATCCTACTGTAAACATTTTTTGCTTTGAGTTTAAATATAACATTTTATTTTTGCTGTTGTGCTTATTTTCTAGAATGGGACCTATAGACTTATCTGCATATATAGGACTTAAACTTTCTCAGGTAAATGGTTAAAAATGGCAACGAAGCCTGTAGGTCTTAGCAAGGACCATCCTTCTTCAAACCACATGGACTGGCACTAAAGAACAACAAAGAACCGTATCAAAATAACCAAAATGACATTGCTTTGGAACTTTCAACAACATCAATAATAAATATGGTTTGAATTGAAAATAATGACATAATCAAAATGTTAACATTACTCACTATTTTCTACTGGACCGAGCAATGGATTTGTGAAACCTATTTTCTTGAAACATTGTTTTAATAGAAAGATTTTATAAATTTAAAATGAAAGTAGCATTGGCTGTTTGGTTAATGAATGCTGACTGTTTCCTTGTAAGGAAACAGCTAATTTTACTTTTAGTAAATATTATAGGCTTGTCTCAGGATTGAAATAATTATATATTATCCACTATCATTTGATTGAGACCAGGAAAAATAAAAGCAAAGATTCTGAATGCTGTTTTTCCATGAATTCAAGCAGTCTCACTCCTCTCCATACATTGGTACATCGAAAGGATTTATTATAAGAAGTAATTTACTATTTTCATCAAGGATAGAAAAAAACTATTTTGATAGAAGGATGAAGATAGTTAACAATTTGGAAGCATATGTCTTTCTAATTATACAGTGGATGGAACCAGTTGAAAACACTGTTGAAAAGTTCTTGGACCAACCAAGAAACCCTTCCAAAAAGAATTGTTTGGTCATTTGATCAGATTTTGGGAAGTTGGTGAGGTTGAGAACTTTTTAGTACACCCTTGTATTTAGTAGAAGAAACAGAGCTTTAAGCTGTTTTATTTATATATATATATATATATATATATATATATATATTTTCTAATTTTAATACAATTTACATTTATTTTTTTTTGACTACTGTGAAAGCTGAGAAAACCATTAGATAATTGTATGCAAAAAGTGTATAACCGATTGCAATTTTTATTGAAAGTTGGTACAGATTTTGGAACTTTTATTCTCTTTGTCAGCCAAAAATTTACAATGATTTAATTTTCAAGTTCAAATACCTAAGGACAATACAGATGTGTAACAGACAGTAATTCAAAATCCTCAGAGATGTTAATTCAATAATTCAAAATCCTCAGAAAAGTTATTTCAGTAATTCAAAATTTTTAGTGGAAGAAGATGACAATAAGGATGGATTAATGTTATCATTGAAAAATTAAAATTTTTTATTTGCTTTCCAAAAATGTAAGCTAGAGAGAAAATATTAAAGATAATAGATTAGGTTTTGGACTACTTTTATTGAAAATTATAACAGCCATATATTTCTTCCATTTTATTTTTATTTATGTTTTTTATATAAATATTTTTTTTTGTCCATACAGAACTTGGCTGGCCATGTTCACTTATGCAGAACACAAAGAAGAAAAATAAAATAATCCCTAGAACGGATAACCACATTCAGCTGTCGTTATTTGAGCTCTGTCAATATTTGATACTCAACCAGGAGACATTTTTTTTTCTTCTTTATGTCAGCCTCCCATTCTGCTGTTCACATCTGCCAAGTTGCCCTGCATGTCTCAAATAACATCCAACAATTCTACCTCAGGGAGTTGGGGGGGGGCACTGTTGTCGAGCCATGGCTAGTAAGTTAATCTCACAGACCATTGCTAAAATACGCACTGGAAACAGGGAAAGCAATAACTGAGTAATTATAAAAAAAAAAGAGGAACCAGGCAGAATATCTTTAGACATGGGCAGTTGTATTGGAACAATCTACCCTCTTAGATTAAATGAAAGATCTCAATTTGAAGTTTATCCACTTTGACAGATACCTAAGGAATGCCAGACTGGACAATGGTACAAAAATTGTGGTAATAACAACAAAAATGAAATTATTAGTAGAAACAGGAATTAGTACAAAGTAACTTTTAAAAATAAATAGTAAAAACCATTAATCTAAGATAAAATAACTACCGCATATTTCGGCATATAAGGGAATGAGAGCAATCTGCCTCCAATAATTTCAAGTATGATGGTAGACACCTAAAGAAGGTTGGAGATACAACAGCCAAAACAATGTGGACATAACAACAAAGATAAACATGCTGGTCTGAATAATAAAGTATATGACAATGATAATTCTTCATCTCAAAACTTCCGACATAAAATATCTAGGTAAATTCTAAACAAGGAAGGATATCGACCATAATGTAACACTGTACCTAACTTATATAGGAGGGTAACTGAAAAAAAGTTTAAAAGAACTTTTAGTCAGTCCAACAGATATTAACATCCCAATATGAAATAAGATTTGAATATGCATGTTGGCAAAGCTGTGCTGGGCCATAATTAGCTTTTAAGATTTCTTTCCATTCAATTGCAAAAGTTTTCTTCATAGGTTAGGCTCAAGGGCATTAACACTATACCTGCACTAACACCATATAAGACGAGATCAAAAAATATAGCAAATTTTCATGAATTTATCCTATACCTGTAATATAAGATGACTGCTTATTGATTATATAAAGATGATGTTATTGGAAACATTGTTACTTACTGTATCCTTAGAAATTCAAAATAAATGAAATAACAAAACTGATTCTATATCATGTTTTCCCTACACATGTCCCCTAAAAGGGAAATCATTGTTTTGTTTACTTTTGATCACATGATCTCTTGTGAATACTGATTCTTCTTTCTCTTCTTTTTCTATATCTAAACAGTTACAAACAGCCTGGTGTACTAATGGCCATTTACTTATACTTCATCAACAATAATATAATACCACTAATAACATTATGATAATGTACAATAATAATACATTCCACTTTCAACATTGTTTTTTATTCAGTCTTTTATTCAATATTGAAAGTTTAGTGAAAGATAAAGGTTGCTGTGAATGCAACCATAACTCAATGTTTAGATTTTCTCAGCTGATCTTGTATGGTTACAAGTTGATTTCTTTGATATGGAATTATTCCTCATATAGGCAATTTATTATGATGTTATGCCAGTAATATATAAGGTAGAAATGGTTTTATTACAATTTTTATCAGTTTATTTAATAATGTGAATCTTTTCATGTACATTGTTGGTAATTGCAGTGAGGCTGAGGTTAGCTTACCGAGAGACATCACTCAGAATTTAAGGTTTCTCTTTTAGAATTGTAGTACAAGACAACCCCCAATTTTTAATGGTGATTGGGGGGGGGAGAGTTAAAGGCCGTCTTATACGCGAAAATATACAGTAATATACAAAATGTTTATTGACCTATTTGTATTATTTTTCTTTTCAGTCAAGTCACATTTCCTTAAATTCTTTTACAAAAAGCTTTCAAATGCCAAGTGTTATTGAACTTTTTTATTTTTTTATTTTATTATTTTATTTTATTATTCAATGAATGCTTTATTGTCTAGATGTGTAATTTTCAAAATGAATCCATCAAAATCCTGCTGTGTTGTTTATGGTTAATTTAAGATAGAAACAAATTTCTAATCAAAATTTGATACTAGACAAAGTAGCTTAAAACTGACCCATGATAACTATTGACCTCTGTTTTTTTGTTTTGTTTTTATTCTTTTCTTTTTTCATTTCTTTTTATTTTTTGTTTTCATACAAATGTCTTCTCTTTGAACAGGAATTCTCATGGGAATCAGCAACACCATAGCAACGATCCCAGGATTTCTAGCACCCTATGTTGTTGGTGTTCTTACAGATACAGAGGTTTGTGAGAAAGAAAAAATAATTCCTGAAAAATATTTTCTTATTTCCAGGTTTTAAGAATGATTGAATCAACTGTTTCAATAATTATTTCTGTTAGATATGACCTTAAATTATGGAAGCATTTTAAATCATTACACTTGATATTCACTTCAAAGTGCATGTTTTTTTGACGCATCTTCCTGAATATTCAGGATTAAATTATTTTTCTTCCAATGCACTTCCATACATATATAAACCTTAAATGATTACATAAAACTGCATTCTTCATATGCCACAACTTGTTTCATAAAGCCATCACTTAATTAAAACTTCGTCTTACGCCCATATCACATTGAAACACCAATTCTTGTACAATCAGCAAATTAAAGCAATGTCAAGCCTGGTTAGTACCTAAATGAGAGACTGCTTGGGAATACCAGGTGCTACAAATTTGGATGTGTGGGTGGTGTAATGAATAATGAATTGGAAATCAGAGAGCTGAGTTCCAATTCCAGTCAGATTAATCATATTCATTTAAGTGCAAATACCCTTGGAAAAGGTATGAATCCACCTCTTCTCTCCCCAGCTATGGATTAATTAGTAGGACGTGTGTCAGTAAATCATTATCTCCAAAAACTTCTTACAATGTAAAAATACTTTCTGGCTTTAAATAACCTGCAAAGTGGTTAATAAGCCTTAGAAAATGAATGAATCAAAACCGACCTAGTGTTCATTTTTGAAACTTTGCCTTTGGGAGAGGTATGAATCCTTCACCACCTACCCCATCCTTCACCCACATCTCAACTATGCGTTACATTGATGGTAAGAGTGGGCTCTTGAGCCTTGGATATATAAAGAAAAAACATTAAGAGAAAACGAATGTAATTATTATATGCCTTACTATTCAGGCCAACATACTCGTCTTTGTTATTATCTCTCAGAGTCTTGTGATTCATTTGTAAAGGCGTCACATTTACTGCAGCAGTAGGGTGCTGAGGTCAAGATAGCCTGATGAAGCCCAACATCTCTTCTGGACTTGAAAACAGAGTTTTTCAGCATATATGACTTTTCATCACTACCAGACCCAGGGATGGAACACACAACTGTTAGGGAAAACATGTTTTAACCAACACTTTAATCCTCTAGATCATGTGTTTTTTGAACAATACAGTGTTGTAATTTTGAAGTCTGTACTGGATGTGTACGAGTGTTTTGACTCTGGGGGAGGGATTGTTTATTTGGTGTCATTTCATTCTTAATCAGAGGCTCCCAGATGTAGGGAGCAGACATATGACACAAAAGGGGATATTAATTGATATGAAAAGCATATCATTTCCTACGCACTGAAAACAGAATGAGAACAATCTGCCCCCAATAATTTCAAGTATGATGGTAGACACCTAAAGAAGGTTGGAGATACAACAGCCAAAACAATGTGGACATAGCAACAAAGATCAACATGCTGGTCTGAATAATAAAGTATATGACAATGATAATTCTTCATCTCAAAACTTCCGACATAAAATATCTAGGTAAATTCTAAACAAGGAAGGATATCGACCATAATGTAACACTGTACCTAACTTATATAGGAGGGTAACTGAAAAAAAGTTTAAAAGTTTATAAACAAAAATGCATGCAGGAAAACACAATTTTAACTTTCTTTCATTAATAATCCATATAATGCAACCCTCTCTCCCCCAACCAAAGAAAAATAGGAACATCTTTTTTTATAATCTTCGGCCACTTTTATCCTTCTGCTGGGGGTGGGGATGCTAATCTTATGTCAAATATTTTTCATTCCATTTTTTCTATAAAAGTGTTATGAATTATTATTACTTTTTAATAAGAGCTAAAAAATACTCTTCCACATATTTTAGTATTATAAAGAACTTAGTATTATCAATAATTATGATAAAAAAACTTATCCATCCTTTAATAATAATAATAATAATAATAATAATAATGATTATACAAGGGTCAGCTGAAAAGTTCATTGACTGACCAAGATATAAATGTAGTCACACCATTTGATAGACTAAGAGACATGCAAGTGTACAAGAATACAACAGATGGTCGAACAGGTGTTATATTCTGGTCTACTTACATGTTTTTTAGTCTATTATTATTAATTACACTAAAGTTGCTTTATAAGTTTTATTGATATTATTACTTACATTTATATCTTAGTCAGCTGATGAACTTTTCAAACGACCCTTGTACTTGATGGAAGATTTTTTTATGGTCACAACTTTTGTTCAAGAATAAGAAAGAAACTTAAATCTTCATAAGGATTTCCAATGCTTTAATCCTCATTGGGTAGTTTTTAATTTTTTTTTATCTTAATGAACATTTTATTAAAAACAAAGAAAAAAGAACTCATAAGAAATCAGTTAAATGAGAAAAATTGCAGTTTATTTCAATCAAAATAATTTTTCTATTAAATGGTTATTACTTGAAACAGCAGCATTCTTGTCAATATGAATTTTGGTTTTGAATTTATCTGATATTGTTTCAATAACATGTGTGGCTTCCATTTTTATGCAGGATTACAGAATTTGGTTAGATAGCTTTGCAAAATACTTTGATGTCATAAAATTAATTTGTGAAAAATTTTTTTAAAAATTTGATATATTAAGTATTAAATTTTGTAAGGTTTTTATAATTAACAAGAATTAACTCCCAAGCATTAAATATCAGTCTGTCTGGCCTTGGAATCGTTTGAATTTTTGTCTGCCCTACAAGTTTTATGTCTTCTGATGGGAAACTTCTTTTTTCAACTGTGATGTTCAAAATTCCTTATCAGATATATTTGCTATTTCCAACTCAATAGATTGATCACTAGAAATATGGCTAGAATTATTTCAGATATTTCAACGTCTGAAAGTGTTGTATGGGAACACTAAAGTTGCTATTACTATAAAAAATCTGTAAACCTTTTATCAATGACTTTAGAGGCTTATGACTTGCTGTAAATAAATTATTGACATTATTTCTTTTGTTACAGAAAAAAGGGAAATGGAATTTAGTCTTTTTCATATTTTGCACAAACAAATGTTAATTTGCAATCAAATGCAAAAACCTCTTCTAACGACTCTACTGCAAGAAATGTTGGGTCACTGTCGTGTCAGAATGTTTTTCATGTCAGAATCCATCTTGTACATTTACAAATCTACCATTCGGCCATGCATTGAAGTCTGTTGCCATATCTGGTCTGGTACTCCTGCTATTCATCTTGCAGTTCTTGACAATATCCAGAGAAGGATCTGCAATGTAATTGATCCTAACTTGGCATCTCAACTCCAGTCACTTTCTCACCAACGTAATGTGGCCTCCCTCTGTCTTTTCTACAAATATTTTCATGTCAATTGCTCTGACATGCTTTTACCCTGGTGTCCCAACTACATGAGTTTAAGCGTGTTATTAGATTGGCATTTAGGTTTCACCCTTTTACTGTCAAAATAGTTAAATGTACCTCCAATAGTTTCTTTTCTCTCACTTCTCACCTGTGGAACTCCCTTCCATTTACTTGCTTCTCTGAAAACTACTAAATTTAAATGCAATGTCAATCACCATCTTCTCTCTTCTTGAACCTTGTTCATTATTTATCTTTTCCTCAACCCCCCTCATAACCAGTCTTTTCTTTCACTTTCACTCCCTGTAACCCCCCCTGCATACTAGTGGCATTCCCACCTTGCTTGAAGTGGGGGGATGGATTAAAAAAAAAACGGATGTGTTCCCTTTTTCTTGAAGATTTTTGTTAAGCAAGTTTAAATGGCAAACTATGTTCATCATGAAATCTAACTTTTCCAGCCAATCAGGAACTCCCATTTCAGGATACCTATTATTATCATTATTACTACAAAGGCTTAGTAGGAATTATTTTTCTGCATTTTTATCAAGCTGTTTACACATTTATAAGAAAGTTTTCTAATAATAGTAATGGATTTTTCTTAATCTGACAGATTTTTTATCACTTTAAACATTATTTTTAGTGCATGCTATATTTGAGTAGAAATTCCATTTATTTATTAAACAGTATATTTATTTATTTTCGTCATTTGACCTGAATGTTCAAGTCAGATAAATAAAAATCAATTACTTTCTTTAAAAAAATTGTTTACATTTGGATATGAAACTGGGCAGATATGAAAAATTTTGGAAGAACTGTGATGAGAAAAGTTTTGCTTAAAGTCACAATTTTAGTCTTGCCTGATCAACTAGTTCCCTGTAGCTCAGTTGGTTAGAGTGTTCTTAATTTAATGGTAGCTCCCTCTGCCCAAGGGGATGCAGGTTCGAATCCTGCTAGAGAGTAAAAATTTTTCTTTAATAAGTTTTCTCAAACATTCAGGTCAGTAGATGAAAATAAATATACTATTTAATAAACAAATGGAGTGTCTAGTTAAAGATAAATATTCGCTAAAAATAACACTTAAAGTGATAAAAAACATAAGTCTAACATTCATCCATATATTGAATATTGCTGTGACATCTGGTCTGGTGCTTCTGCTATGTATTTAGTGATTTTTGACAAAATCCAAAGAACAATCTGCAATATTATTGGTTCTGTCTTGTCATCTTGGCTTCAGTCACTTTCCCAACACCATAATGTAGCTTCCCTGTTCCTTTTCTATAAATACTTTCATGGTAATTGTTCAGATGAAATTTGGTACATAGACTTTAGGAAATTAAGCAATTGGCTGCAAGGTCTCATCATTTTACAGTTGAAATGGTTCGATGTAACAGCTAATTCCATACTAACAGTTTCTTGCACTTCTTGCTTGTGGAACTCTCTTGCAGGTTCTTACTTCACAGTCAACTTTGATCTTCAAAAATTTAAATGCAACGTCAATTGTCATCTTCTGTCTTCATAATTCTTGTTTTTTTGTTGTCCTTTCTCTTTAATAGAATATTTTTCTAATATTCTCTAGCACTCAGTAACCCCTGGCATTTTAAAATTGACTGGGAAGCAAGAGGCCAGAAGAGAGTTCCACAAGCGAGAAGTGCAATAGAAGAAACTGTTAGCATAAAAGTTATGTTTGCATCTGGCCATTTCAACTGTAAAATGATGAGACTTTGCTGCCAATCTAGTACTACACTTAAATTCATAAAGTCTAGGTACCATAGAGGAAAGTTCATCAGAACAATTATCATGAAACAATTTATAAAAAAGGTAGAGGGAAGCTATGTTATCACAGTGGGAAAGTGACGGAAGCTGAGATGCCAGTTGAGGTTTACTAACATTGCAGATTCTTCTTTGGGTTTATCAAGAATCTCTAAATATATACCAGGATCACCAGACCAGATGTTGCAGCAATATTCAAAGCAAGGATGAATAATAGACTTATAAATATGTAAGATAGATTCTGACAAGAAAAATTGTTTAGATCGACACAATGAAACAACTTTCATAGCTGCTGACTTAGCAATTGATTCAATATACACTTTTCACATCATATCAGTAGAAAATATTTAGTCTGAGAAGGCACAATGAGTCACTCTCCTGGAACCATGCAAATGGAAGGTAAAAAAAGGTTCTCTCAGATGATTAAAAGAGAACAGTTTTATTCTTCTCTCTCCTTGATAGTGTTTTTTTTTTTTTCTAATATTCTCTAACACTCACTAACCCCTTTCATCTTAGTGGCTTTATTGCCTTTCTCAGGGTGAAATGATTAAAAAAAGAAGCTTTTATCATTATCATCATCATCATTATTTGGATAAGCATGTCTAGCATTGAAATAGAAAGTGACGAATACTAAAATGTAAAAACGATTAAATTAAGCTTATTGAGAGAAACTGTAGGGAAGGAAAAGGACAAAGAAATTTCTACCTTAAATAAAAAAAAAATAATTATTGATATTTGTTTTTCGGACATGCCTCAGGGTTGATGAGGGTTCACCGATTCCATGAATGGGGTCAATGACCTAAAAATCTTGGCCACTTCTGTTCTAGACTTACAAAATAATATATACTACGTGTTGGAAAATGATTTATAAAATTGAAAATAGCTGTACTTTTTATTCATGTTGGAATTATTTCATCATTTGAATCCATTTCATAACCAAAATGCTAAGCAATATTTATTTTATATCCACTTGAGAACACATTCTTTCTCTTTTCTTGTTTCCTTTCCTGCCATTATTTACAGAGGGGTGCTGAAAAGTTCTTAGCTCAACTCACTTCCCCAAATCGGACAAAATGAGTAAACATCAGAATCATTGTGTTCCTTTTTGGTTTGGCTGGAATCTTTCCAGCACCCCACATAGTATCAATATCAACATGTGATATCATGTCAGCAAAATACTTCATCAAAACAATAATTGGCTTATAGCCATATCATGTTGAAACACCAGTTCTCATAAAATCACTGAACTTAAGCAACGTTGAGCCTGATCAGTACCTATATAGGTGACTGCTTGGGAATGCCAGCTGCCATAAGCTCGGAGGTGCATGGGGTGGTGTAATGGATAATGTCTCAGAATGAGAAGTTGGAGAGCTGGGTTCTAATTCTGGTCCAGTTCATTACATTCACTTACGCACAAATACTCTTGGGAAAGGTATGAATCCACCTCCTCTCCTCTTATCTATGGGTTAAATAGTAAGACTTGTTTCTGAAAATTATTATTCTCCAAAAAATGGTTAATACAATATTCACTTACAAAAACAAAAGGATTTTTCTTACAACCCCAAAATGTTTTGGCTTTAAATAACTTGGAAAATGTTGATAACCCATAAAAAAAATGAATCAATCAATGGACAATCATTGATTTTTCCTCTTGAGATATTTCATCGGCAATTACTGTTTTCACAATTATCTATGAACTTCATTGTACCATTAACCTAATATTGTCCTAGGTATGACAATAAACTGCATCTGGCAGCAGGGCCTCTTATCAGGAAGATTGAAGGTTTTTGAGGAGCCTGGAACCACCTCTTAATTGATGTTGTTACAAACTCCACCCTGACCTGGGGTAGTAGCAGCTGTTAGGGTCTCAGCTATGGACAAATAGTGAACTCCTAAACAAAAATCAAAATACTAGGAAAGTATGAAAATATATCTTTGTAGTAAAAGTATCAACAATACATTTTTGTTTTTAAATTTCTAACAAAACATTTTTATAGTAAAATGACCAACAGTACATTTTATAATAAAAATGGCCAACAATACATTTTATAATAAAATTGAAGACTGCATACATTGTCAAAATAAATAAATAAAATAGAAATAAACAATCAGATATGATTAATCTTATTTCTTGTAAGGGGAAACAAATGTTGATTCCATGTTTGATTTTGTACGATTATTTGCTAAAAATATGCAACTAAGTAATTATAATTTAATTATGAAATAATGTCATTCACTTGAATTAATTATAAAGTTTGAATTTTCATATTTAGATTTTGGCATTAAATAACCCATATAGATGTTGATATGCCACTAAACAAAAACAACAAAACCAAACTCTAACATAATAATAATAATAATTGATGATGATCATATCTCAGCTGCCACCTGTAGCTTAGAGACTTAACACTTTCCTCAACATATGAGCTTTTCAAAGCAGTGCTGCCTCCTGTGGACATCATTGGGTGTGTGCAGGTAGCAGTGCTGCCTCCTGTGGACATCATTGGGTGTGTGCATGTAGCAGTGTTACATCTCATGTGCTGAGAAATGTGTTGTCTCTTTAAGTTGCAGGTAGGAGCTGAGATATCACTCAACTGAAACATCTGAGGGTTGGAAAGGATATCAAATAATAATAAAAAGAAGAGGAGAATCCATTGGGAAGAATGTCGTAAACTTGGTTTCAGTGTGGAAGAGATGTGATATGAATATCAACTAGAGGCAAGTGGTAGAAAATGAGTTACAAGTTATGGGATTTCTCAATGCACACAGATCATGTCACCAAAGCACAAAGAGTTGAATTTATTGTGATAGATAAGGAAAGTAGGCAAGTGTCAAATTATTGATTTTACCGTTCAATATGATGCAACAGTGGACTTCAAAGAAACTGAAAAGAATTGAAAAACACCAGAGGATTTGGTTAAGGAGTTGAGGAAGCCATGGAAGGTTTCTGTTGAAGTAATTTCTGTAGTAAGGGGTACACTTGAAACACCAAGAAAACCGAAAGCACTCTTCGAGAAAATTGAAATTGAGATCAAGATTGTAGAGCTCCAGAAAACTGCCATCCTTTACTTGGGGAGGAGTCTTCAAAAAGTTCCTGAGTTGTGACCAAACTTGTTGACACTATTTCTCAATGTCAATATTTACACTATTTACATTGTTCAGACTGATGTCCTCATCTTTGTTGTCATATTCACAACATTTCGGCCATTGTATGCTCTAGCCTTCTTCAGGTGATATACATTGGAATTTCCAGCCAAATCCCTTATTTTAACCACTTGGGTAAATTGTTCTAGTTCCACATGCCATGTCTTTTCTAAATATCTCAGTTATCTTGCTTTAGTAACTCAACTCTGCAATTTTTTTTTTTTTTTACTGTGGCCAGGTATTGAACTCACAACTCGTAGGCTCAAGTCACTGGGTTACTTCAACCAATGATTTTATCCACTGGGCCATGTGTACCCAAGGAGAGAAAAAAAAATTCTTTATAAGGCATCTCATGTGCTACTCAAGGAACTTAATTGCTTTGTTTTTCCTTGTCTTTATGATATCAATGAAATGTCTTCACTTACTATGTATTTCACTCAGAGTACTGAGTTCCAATTCCAGTCAGGTTCATTATATTCACTTACATGCTAAATTTTCTTTGGGAAACATTTGAATTCATTTCTCCCCTGAACTATGCATTAGTTAGACTTGTATCAGTAAATCTTTATTATCTCCCAAAAAATTCTTACAATCTAAAATTATTTTCTGGATTTAAATAACCTTCAAAAGGTTAATAAGCCATAAAAAGGAAGAAATCATTCAAACAAACCATTTCACTGCCAGAATAAGAAGACTCAGAAATATCCCAAAATTTCTTATAAGTATATGCACAACATTTCTTCACAAGTCCTCCAATGCCAGGATGTTGTTTACTTATTTCTCCCCACTTCCTAATGATGATAATGGTTTCTTTCAAGAAATGGCCTGTGCATATAAAGGGTTTCACAAGTCCAAACTCACTCCCTCAACATCCTCTCCAGAATCCAGCAGCAAAGATGGGAGCCAAGACAGCTGATGGAAGATCAGTTGCAGTGAATGGACAGATCAAATTTCAATGCAATGAATTCTATTCCCATACTCGACAATACGTGTACACCCAGCCGGTTTGAATTTAAAGTTTCCTTTCTCATGGACTGGCTACCACCCAAAATGATAGAGGCCAGTCTGTTCTGCCATAGTTTGCTGGAGAGGAAGAGATAGATTCATGCCTTTCCCACGAGTATTATTTCAAAATGGATGCAGCAGACTTGGCCATAATTTGAACTCTGTTTGCCAGTTAATTTCCCAAATTGATGGCCACTACATTTACCCACAAACTGTTGCTCACTAGGTGCCATTGATATTTGCATTTACCAATAATACAGATAATTAGAAAATCTGGCACAAATATCAAACCATTCCAGTTTTCTCCTCAGGCATAGTGATTTGAAGCTGATTTTTAATCAGATATTTATTTTTTAAATAATATCTTTTTTTCTTTTTTTTAATCATTTTGCTTTGTGCAAGGTAGTAAAGCCACTAAGACACAAGAGGTTACTAAGTATGAAAAAAAAGAGAAACATTATTAAAGAATGAGAACAATAAAAGAGTAATCATGAAGACAGTAGAATATTTTAATAATGATCATGAGTTTGACATTAGCTTTAAATTTTTGAAGATCAAAGTTTGATTAAAAAGCAAGAAGCCAGAAGAGTTCCACAAGTGAGAAATGTAAGAAAAGAAACTGTTAGCATAGAAATTATGGTTACATCTAGCCAATTCAATTGTAAATTGATAAGCCCTTTTTGCCAATCTAGTACTGCGCTTAAATTCATAAAGTCTTGGTACCAAAGCAGAGAGTTCATCCGAACAATTACCAGAAAAGTATTTATAGAAAAGGCACAGAGAAGCAACATTACAGCAGTGGGAAAGTGACTGAAGCAGAGATGCCAGGTCTGGACCAATAATATTGCAGATTCTTCTCTGGATTTTATCAAGAATTTCTAAATATATTCCATGAGCACCAAGACTATAAGTGGCTGCAGTATTCAAAGTGTGGATGAATAGTAGACATATAGACATGCAAGATAGATTCTGGTGAGAAGAATTGTCTAGCATGACATGGTGAACTAAATTTCTTAGCTCTGAGCAGTACCTGTGAAAGTTGAGAAGTACCATGATTTTTCTATTTGAATTTTCTGGTAAATCTTAAGTTAATGATTGAAGAAGTTCCTTATGAGTTTCCTGACTATAAAATACCTGTGGAAATCCCACTATTGCATCGTCAAATACTGCAATAATGATCATAAGTTTCAATGCAGGACAGAAGTAAGAGGATACAAATGAAAGGATTCCAAATTGACAATGTTTTCTATTTTGCTGAAGCAGACATTAAAATCATGAGAGTGTTATTACTTCCTCTCTCTTCACTTTCTTCCTTTCTTTCTTATGTATTCTTTCTCTTTCTCACTAAAACCAAAGAGTCTCTCTGTTCCATCTTTATCTTCAATCTTTCCTTGCAATTAAAATAGAATGATCTGAGGTAATGGCAGGACATAACCCATGTGCTAAGTTACGAGTACAGTCATATTTTTAAAGAAATAACATTATTTTTTATTACTATAAACATTATATTTAGTGTGTGTGTGTGTATATATATATATATATATATATATATGCGGTACTTATTGGAAAGTTCACAGTATCAGTGATAGAGCTAACATATTTAGTTGTATTGATGTGAGTTTGTGACCCTGCCTGGGTTTGATGATCACAAAGGTGTGAAACCCAGGGTTAAAACTCAGATCAATACAATAAATATATATATATATATATATATATATATATATATATATATATATATATACACACACACACACACACATATATATATATATATATATATATATTATTGTATTGAGGCAGCAGATCATTATTTAAACATATATTGTTAAATATAGTAGACAATGAATGTCTATTATGTCTGATCATGAGCCATTCTAATGTTTGCTTCATTTTCACCCAAAATTAAAGCAAACATACGAACATTAGTACAGCTCATGATCAGACATAATAAACATTAATTGTCTGTTATATTTAACAATATATATATATATATATATATAATGAAATAGATTAAGTCTGACAATTATTTAATATATTTTTTCTTTATACATTATTTTAATAGATACTATTTAAGTAAATGTTCTGTTTTTTAAATAAACAGTATTAATTACATTTACTGGCCTGAATGTTTGAGAAATTTTGTTGGTCGTTGAAATAATGAATTTGGGAAGTGGCACTTGCTGAGAACTTATAAAAGTCTTAGTTAATACTAAACAGAACAATAAACTAAAACTTGAAGGAGGAATTTACTCGATTGTCTGTAATAATTGTCACAAAAAATACATGGAAACCTCAAGGAATCTAAATAAAATATATGAACACAAAAGGGACATTTTACAAAACAATACATCAAATGTGTTGGTTGCCCACAGAGACTGACCACAATTTTGACATAAATATGCTACTCTGATCAAAGGAGAAAATAATTCACTATGATGAAAATGTCTAGAGATTGCCTTGATCATCAACAGTAGATTTGGGCAACCTGGCTCTTACCATATTTCACCATTCTGGTAGATCTTCTATTATCACAGTGTGGGATATGTAATAACAAAAGTGATGGAAACCCAAAGAAAAAGAATCTAAATGAAATTGGCTAGATTATATAAAACAAAATTCAAATTCCTAGCATCACTCATTCATGTGTATGTGTAGTAGCAACAACATAACAAACTTAGCCTGATGAAGTTCTAAAAGATAAAATGCACCACAAGAAAATTTTTTCCACTTTGTCATACATTTTTCCCATATATATATATACACACACACACACACACACTTGCCTTTTAGTGTCTAAAAACATCTCACTTATTTTTTAATTTATTGCAGAATGTACGTGCAGGTTGGCAGTCAGTCTTCTACATTTCAGCGAGCATTAATCTGTTTGGAGCCATATTCTTTGCTATTTTTGCATCTGGGGAACAACAGATATGGGCAGTTGTTAATGATGAAGAAGAGGAATCTCTTTTGAATTCATCTGACCAAAACTGAAAGTTTCAAAAGAGAACTGAAGACAAAGAAATATATATGCAGCTGATCTCTAAAATAAATATTCCATATTTTTATCTGATTTTATAAATATTCAGGATAACCCATTTCATTGGTTTTTTTTTTTTTTTTTTTTTCTTGTCTGATTTATAAAGTCTTTGCAAATATGTTGCTGGCAATGTGCCACCAAAAAGTTCTTGGCTTGACCAACGGGGGATTCCCTACCCAAATTCTGTCATTTGGCCAATTGTCCAGATTTTTAGAAATTGGTCAGTTTTAGAACTTTTTAGCACAATATATATATATATATATATATATATGTGTGTGTGTGTGAAAATATATAGAAAATAGGAAAGAACTGGTTAGGTAAATAATCCAAAGTTCCTTAGTTATTATTTTTAAAAAATAGTGCTCAATACAAAAGTAGAGCATAAATATAATTATTTATTTAAAAATATGATTCCAACTCGCAACATAAGAGGTCTCATGTTTCAAAACAAGAGCCGAAAACTTCAATAAAATTATTTGAATTAAATAGAGTTAAAGTAACAGAGCTTATTTTTAAATAAATAATTATATATTTATATATATAGAGAGAGAGAAAGAGAGAGAGGATTGGCCAGGAAGTGAACCTGGAGCACCTGCATGTATTCTACGGCTGAATGACTGATGCATCAGTTGTTCAATGGTATACATTTTGTTCCTCACCATTTGCCACAACTCTGAGTTTTATGTGCAATGGCATTGTCAGGCATGGATTGAAAACTGAACTTACCTCTGTTATTATACATCAATCACTATCATATATATATATATATATATTTATTTATTTGAATTTTTTGTTTAGTTTTTCTACACTAAAAACAATTTTTGCATTCCCTTACCCCCCACCAACCGTATAAATGTAAGAATATTAGAAAAACTAAGTAAAAAATTAATCAAATTTTCTTTGTCTGTCATAGTCAACAAAACATGTTTGAAAAGAAAGGTTACTGCCCAAATATAATCATTGTCATCCCATAAGTTCTGTCCGAATTTTCAATAAAGAAAACAAGTGACCAAATGTTACATTTAATTACAGATTCAATCAACAATGTATTTTCCCTGATTATCTATGACTTCCTTCCATCTATTAACAAGCTTACTAATTCCATTACTGTAAAATTCTTTTGGCTTTGATTCGAAGAACTCACAAATGTCAGTTTTAACCTCTTCCTGTGTTACAAAAGCTGTTTTCTTCCAAATGATTCTGTAAGATACGAAACAAATGGTAGTCTGAAGGAGCAAGATCAGGAGAATAAGGTGGATGAGAATTTTCTCCCAACCAAGTTCTTGATCTTTTGTGACGTGATTCTTGCTGTCGAGTAATATTGTCCTGATGAAACATCACCTCTTTTCGATTCACTAGAGCAGGTCTTTTTTTCCTCAAAGCTTGGTTCAAGCGCTCTAATTGCTGACAGTTTATTTGAGCATTAATTGTTGCATTAGGTGGTAAGAATTCAAAGTGGATTATTCCTTGGGGATCCCACCAGATTGAAAGAAGAACCTTTTGCCCATGAAGTTCCCTTCTTGGTTGTGGCTGGGGTCCTTCCCCTTTACCAAGGCACTGTCTACGATGCTTCACATTTTGATAAAAGATCCATTTTTCGTTGCCAGTCACAAGTCTATCCAAAAAAAGGTGAAACAAGTTGTAGAGAATGGAGAGAAGAGCAGATGTCAACTCGGGATTTGAATTTGTTTTCAGACAATTCATCAGGCACCCATTTTCCAAGTTTAGGAACTTTTTCAAGTTGTTGAAGATGACGATGAACAGTTGTATGGTTTGAACTGAGAACCACTGCCAATTCCTCAACTGATAAAGCAGGATTTTCTTCAAGGGCTGCTTCAAGAAGCTTTTCATCAAACTCAACTGGACGTCCGGTTTGATCTTCATCTTCAAGGGTGAAATCTCCACCTCTGAATTTTGCAAACCATCTTCTGCAAGTTCTTTCATTCACACATTCCTCTCCATAAACTGAGTGAATGTTTCTAGCCGCTTCGGCTGCTGAGTTTCCTTTCTTGAACTCATAAAGCATTATGTGCCTCAAATGATTTTTGGGTACTTCCATGTTAACAGGGTTTTAATCAAACAAAATTTAATTTTATTGTTCTCTGAAATAAAATTTGATCAGTTTAAATGCATCTAAACATAAAAATAATGTTCAGCTCCATTAGACATTATAAAATACTCTTTAAATTTCGTTCATTTTAAAAAAAGGTAAAATTCGGACAGAACTTATGGGATATCCTGATATATAGTGCACAGTCAGGGCTGGGAATAAAAACACTGTGCTCGATATAAAGTATTCAAAGCTAAGAAATACAGTCCGTTTGAAGTTATTTTATATAAATCAGAATCTCAATAACTTGAATTTGCTTTGAAAAAATTTTGTCAAATTTTGGACAATTTAGACATTAAAGCAAAGCTTGAGTTAAATTTTCAGATAATTTCATTATATTTTATTAAACTTATTGAATTTATTACAAAAACTGCAGTCTGAAGTTAGGCTGATAAAACGAATATTACTTTAAGGCCACTGAAGGCTAATAAAAACATTTTCTTCTTTTTTTTCATAATATATGTTGAGATATGGGTAACGGAAAGGATCAAACAAATGCTGAAAAACAACCACTTTTGCCCAGTGTTCAGATCATTGAACAGACTGGAATTGATGGAGTCAAGAAAGAAAAAAAGGTGTAGAATATTTCGCAATTTGGAATCTGTCGAGAAATCTCTGAGGTAAAGTAAATATTTTAATGCCAAGAAATACATGAAATAGACTTTTCTAAAGTAATTTTCACAGACAAATCTCTGGTGACACTCAATGGAACTGATGGATGGGCCAAAGGATGGATTTTATCCAATGCAGATGTGCCTGTGGCTAAAAGAAGGCAACAAGGAGGCAGCAGTGTGATGATATGGACTGGAATTGTCGACCAAACCATTATTGGACAATTCAAAGTCGAAGGAACAGTACTAACTATTGCAATTTCATGAAGATTTTCTTTCAATGAGTCCCAGCCTCACAATTTCAAAATGAAGTGCGTATTTATGCATGACACTACTCTTTCTCATATATCTAAGGTTTCCCATTAACTTTGGAGCATAAAAGAGAAGATAATGGAATAGCCACCATCAAGTACTGATCTGAATGCAAAAATTTATGAGCAATTGCAAAGATAAAATTATAAAGTAATTAAAAAAGTCCTTGCTGTTTTTTTCATCCTGTGGGAAGGAGTGTCCATTTTGGGATGACACATGCACATGGAGACATACATACATACAGAGGTAGGTATTATGGTCACACAAATACAAACATATATGTATATAAACAATGCAGGACCAAGTGCAGATGTGTATCCATATGTTCGAGCACACATACATACGCAATTCAATTGTAATCTTATTTTGATGTTGGGACTGAGTGCAGCCATGTTTTTTCAATAAGGGATGTGTTGGGGTGTGTTCTTTTCATCTTTCAGGTTGGTCAACTATGTTGCCAGATGAAATGAGACTTCTTCACACACACATACATACTTGTATACACGTACATATATTTTTTTCCTATCTGTCTGGGCTTTACATCATGACATTGCTTAAAGTGAGATCTGAATACGAATATGATGATTTTATTTTTAATGTTGATTGTTTGTGTATTATAGACTATTACACTTATATTAATAGTGAAAATAGGTATTCTAATTTGTAATAGTTTTGTTATGATAACTGTAAATTTGGCTTTAATCTTGAAGAGGGAGGGAAGTATAATTGTGAAAAAATGTGACTGACAACAATGGTAATTATGGTAATGGACACAGTAAATATAAAAATGATGGTGAAAATAATAAAAATAAAATAATAATTATAATAATGAGAGCAATGATAAAGGTAAAAAGCAATACTAATTGGGGGAGGATATGATAGTGGTAGTAATGAATATTAATAATAATATTAGTAGTAGTAACAAATAGTGATAATAGTAGTAGTAAAATAATAATAAATAATGATAGACGAAGATGATAGCAGTAGTAAATAATTAATAATGATAATGATGGTAATGAATGAGTGATAATAATAATGGTGATTATTAAAAAAATAATTGAAGTGGTAATAACTAAATAATGACAATGGTAATAATGATAAAAATAATAACAGTAATAAATAATAAATAATGGTGGAAGTGGTAATAAAAGACTGCAAAACAGTTTTTGTCAGATGTTAACTCTACAAGACCACTAAATATTTCCTCTACAATCTAGTGACAAAATGTTAACAGCAGATCCTTAACTTCTGAGAGGATGCTTCCCCAACCATCTGAATCTTAAGTTCTTGGAGTCTAGGGTCAACTGTTATATATCCTACATATCTTCAGAACATGCACAGCTTCCTAAAAGTAAGGTTATGGATGTTTTGCAGAGTGAACTTGTTTGACAAATTGATGCCATAAGTTAGACTAAGATCTGTAGAGTTTGGTGGTTAAGGTAGTACAATAGTTTTCATGTCCTTGAAGCCATTTCTGTAGAGGTAGAATGGTTGTTGGACCTTGTAATGGATGAACATATATATATATATATATATATATCTTTTTGTTTTTACAGTGAGGTTCACCCTTTCCAAGGCATGGAGCCCACTCAAGGTAGAGGGTTGTGTTTGGAAGTCATTTGTGTATATAAGAGTGGAAGATAACAGTTAACCCAAGCCTTGAACAGGTTAAAATTTTAGTAATCAGAGGAAAACATCCTGTTGGGAGTCGGTTCCACAGGGCAGTGGTTTATGGAAAGAAGCTGCTCAGGTGGAACTTTTCACCAATGGAATAGAGAGTGAATGTGAGTGATTTGCTTCTATGTAAGTGGCATGGCATGTTCTTGCTTTGAAGGTTTGACTTATATATAGTAGATAGTGCAGTATATATCTTTTATTATAAAGAAGTGATTATACAAAGAATTAATAATTAATGTTAATG